TCCCTCCTCTGGGTAGCTGGAATGCTGCCCCATCCTGTCCCCAGGTCAGTGTCACCAGGGTCAGAGACGGACTGTGAGAGAGCCACCCCTGGAGCCTGAGGCTCGGAGAGAAAGGGAGCCAGGCAACCCAGTCCCTGACAGGGCAGCAGGGCTCTGAGCTCCTTCTGAGCCAGGAAGAAGGGAATGTGCAAGAACAGCAGGTGGGGAGAGGGGTCCTAGGGGCTGCCGCACTGCCACCACTTGGCACAAGGACACCTCAAACAGTAGCTGAGCTTAAAGACAAAAGAGACCACACATCCTATGTAGGCACTGATGTGAAGTATCCAGAAGAGGCAGCTCCATAGAGAGAAATCAGATGAGCAGTTGCCAGGGTTGGGGTGGGGTGACTGCTTAACGGTACAGTTTTCTTCTGAGGCACTGAAAACACTCTGAAACTGGGTAATGAGGATATCTGCAGAACACTAGCAATGGACAGCATGCCACTGAATCGCACACTTTCAAATGACTGAACTGGTAAATTTCATGTTAAATGTATTTTGCCACAAGCATTTTCTTAAAATAAATAAATATAATAGCCGGGCATCAGCCATCTTGTCAGTGGTGACCCAAGGACCACCTAACAAGGAGTGGAGATCCCACAGCCAGGCATGGAGGGGATTTCCAGCAACATGAGGGGTGGGACAGGGGCCTTCACGCTGGCACAGGAGCTCCGGTGCCTCAGAACGAGGCCAGGCTGAACTCCTGAAGACATCGCTCACATCCACCGGCGGTCATCAACATTGTTCCCAAATATTTCCAGAGCGCCCCCTTCAGGGCACATGTGAGACTGCGCTTCCGGGTTCCCTTCCTTGTGGGTGAGGCCACATGACTAGTTCTGGCCAATGGAATGCAAGTTAGTGTTCTCCCCACCCCAGCATTCCAGCGGCTGTACATCTGTCCTGTGAGCCTGAGTGCCTGAGTGAGTGGCAAGCAGAGCTCCTGCTGATCTGCAGTGTGTGTGTGGCATAAACAAGAAGTTACCTGTGTTGCTCTAAGTTGTATAAAAATCGGAGGTGGTTCATTTCCCCCAGCATCATCTACCCCATTCTGGGCTGTCGCCCCCAGGCAGCTTTGATGGGTGGGGCCTCAGTGTTAGTCATTGAAAAGCAAGACAAAAACTATTTCAGTAGCTAGTAACAAATTGAGTATGTGCTTTTCTCCTGCCTCCTGTTCTCCCAGTGTACAAGAGATGCCTGTGGAGGGGCCAGGTTGTAAAAAGAGTACACTGCGTTGTCCTCCACAGGTCCCTGTGCTTTTTTCATGCGGTTTGTTTTGTTGTTGATGCTTTGGGAGTTTTTGTTTGCACATCTGGTAGTTTGGTTGGTTTTGTTTTGTTTTTCAGCACTACGGATTGAACCCAGGACCTGTGCACTGGGATACATCCCTAGCCCTTTTTAATTTTTTATTTTGAGACAGGGTCTCCCTAAGTCACTAAATTACTCAGGCTGGGCTCCAACTTGCAATCCTCCTGCCTCAGTCTCCTGGCGTGCTGGGATTACAGACACCACCATACTCAGCTTAGTTGTTTGTTTTGGTTTTTGGGGTTTTGGGGGGGGGGGGTTCACTATGTAGTCCAAGCTGGCTTTGAACTCGTGAGCTTCCTGCCTCAGCTGGTTCCTCTGCTAGAGCATGGAGAGGAAATGAGCATTAAATCAAATACGAGATGAAATTTTTAACTTCTTTAGGCAAAGTTGTAATGAACTGAAATGAGTGGAAAGCAAGGGAAGTTCCCAGTGATAGGAAAGGGAACCTGCAGATCTTGACTGAAGGCAGTAATTGTGGCCCTAGAACCAGTCAGAACTCGTGGAGAAGTAGATGACACCCCAAAGGGGGTTCATTTAAAAGAGTGCCCTAGGCAGGACTATGTACAAAGTGGTGGGTAGGTGAAGAAGAACCCTCAGGGCCAGAAGTATGGAGGCACTAGCATCTGTAGGCCCAAAGGGGTCAGAGTTGCTGTAGCCATCGGAGATGCCCCATAGTCTCTAGAGAGGAACACAGCAGTGTCTGCCCATCTGGATGAGTAATACATACCGAAGCCTCTTGTTTCCCTGCCCTGTGTGTTCATCCAGTGCTCCCTGACTGGCTGAAGAGGTCGAGTGAAACCTTTGATGCACCCATGACTCCCAGGGCTCCAAGCATGGTGGAGGAGGGTGGAGAGTTCAGCAAGAGGAGTCAGTGGAGACATCCAGAGCCCACCTCGACCAAGTTTGACTGCCTCACACACTGCTTCCAAGTGTCTTAGCAAGGTTTTTGCTTGTTGTTGTTTTTTATGTGTGATTCAAATGGAGCAAGATGGAATGGAGAGGAGAGGCCCAATTGTAATAGTGCTTATTATGGTTTAGATCTAGAATCTCCCCCAAAGCCTCACGTGCTCAGACGTGGGGCTTTCAGAAGGCGATCCATGTAGGGGGCGCTACACTCATCAGTGGATCCATCCACTGATGAATCCATAGCTGAATGTGCTGTTAGGAGGTGGTTAGAAGGATGTCATGGGGCCATGACCTGGCTCCTCCTGTCTCTGCTTCCTGACCACTATGACACGAACAGCTTCTCTCCACCAGACCCTCCCACTTTGCCCTTCCTGCCTTGGAGCCAGCCAACCACAGACTGCAAACGAGAACCAAAGCCCGTCCTCCTTTAAATTGTAGGTGTCAGGTGTTATGTCTCAGCGATGGGAAGGTAACCAAGACAGTAGAGAATGAGTGGAAAGCTGGGAGAAAAGGCAGATGGAACCACACCTAGGAGACTAAAGGAGTAGAGAGGATAAGGAGGAAGAAGTAACTTGGGTAGAATGGCTAAGGAGAACACAGCTGGGACATTTCCTTGGGTTCCATTCTGGATGCCCTGATGTCCCTCCAGGGAACCACTTGCAAACAGCAGAGGAGGATGCACACAGTGGCATCCAGGCAGGAGACAGATCCAAAGGATGGAACTGAGAAGAATTTAACAAAGGGACTATATGTGGTACAGACAGCACTGAGAGAACCAGCAGGAGATAACGAGACACTCAGAGACTTGTGGTGGCAGGAAGCTGTTTCCATGTCTGAGCCTGAAGGGACAGGAGAGGGGGTGGCAATTCTGCAGCCACAGAGGCCTCCTTCCTCTCCAGGGAGGGCATGGGGCCACAGCATGCCTGAAATAGAGGGTCAGAGGGAGCAACACCCTGCCTCTCCGTCCTCTTACTTGCCAGTCTCCTGCCTCCCACAGGATGAATCCCTGAGGTAGGGGATCCTAGTGGGGAAAAAAGGGTATAGAGGCAGGTGTGGGGATGTGCACCTTTAATCTTAGCACTCTAGGAGGCTGAGGCAGGAGGCCCACAGGGTTGAGTCCTGCCTAGGCAACTTAGCAACTTGGTGAGACCCTGTCTCTAAACAAACAAAAAAATAAAGGGCTGGGGACATAACTCAGTTCAAAGGCCTTGGGTTCAACCACCAGTATTACAAAAAGAGGTAAGAGTGGGCAGAGAATGGACGGGAGTAAGGAATGGGCTAGCAGACAAACCAGCCACCTCGAAGGAAGTAAAAGCAAGTAGATAGTGAGGAAATGAGAGCCAAGGCAGCAGAAAAAGTATTTTCTGTGTAAAGAAGACAGGTAAGCTACCAACAACAGTGTCCAGCAAAGGTGTTTTCTAGGCCGGAGAGACCTCTAAACAGAGATTCAATTCATTTACACCAGTGTTGGCCAGGGGCAGTGGCACATACTTGTAGTCCCAGCTACTCAGGAGACTGAGGCAGGAAGACGACTTGAACCCAAAAGTTCAAAACCAGCCTGGGAAACAGTAAGATCTCATCTCAAAAAACAAACAAACAAAATAATACCAACACTGATGTGGTGACTCATGACTGGTTGGTCCTGGCTAAAATCATTTTGCAAAGTTTCTTTCATAGCTGTGCATTTCACATGATTCAAAAAACCCCAAGGGTCAAGCAAAAGGGATAACCTGGGCACAACACAGCATCGCAAGTGACTTTTGGCTCCTGTGTTATAGAAGAGTCAGAAGTCTTTTAAGAATCTAAAACTCTGGTGGAGTAGCATAAAGGTTGCTGCACCATACCCTTGGCTCCCCAGAGGCTGGCTGGACATTCACACAGTTCCCTCTGGAGCTGCTGTTGCCAGGAGTTAGCATGGCCATCAGTGGGGGTCCATCTAGACAAAGGGTGCTTTTCCTTGCCTTTGCTGGGCAACTTGGAGAAATGAGCATCTGACTCTCCAGCAGTACCCAGTGGTGGGTAACCAGTGCCCTGTGTTCATTTGGAAGGGTTAGCTGTCCTCTGCAACATCACCAGGCAACACAGTAAAACAGGAATGATTCTCTGCCTTGTAGCTGGAATGATACGCAGTTCATACCTGGAAAGGCCAGCATGGTCTCAATCACTGGCTAGTAGGTAGTTAACTGACAGAGGCAGCCAGACTGCTGCTGTCAGCAGGGAGTGAAAAGCCTCGAAGAAGGGATAGTAGTAAATGGTCCTGGAGGGTTAGAATAACTTTGTCAGAACAGTGGGAAGTAGGACTTCAAGAGTTCAACCCACTAGATGGTCCATCACTCACATCATAACTACAGAGTACAGCTGTTTGGGTTGTGTACTTCACGGAGCCCCAGCCCCACTGCCCCACTGCTCAGCTCAGGCAGAAGCAGCAGCAGCCTCCAGCGCATACCAACCATTCAGCGTGCTGTGCATCCTAGGATGCAGGGGTCTGCCTGGAAGAATGGGTGACTTTTTCTCTACACAAAGATGCTATCCAATTGCTACACCACGTTTCCCGAGGACTGCACTCTCCAGAGGTGGAGGGAGCAGTCCATTTCTAGTCTAACAAAGATGCCACATGTGCTCACGGCAGCCCTGGCCGGGTTCTCGCTGTGAGGCCACATTCATTCTTCGTGTCTTATGGGAAAGCGCCTTGCTGCATAGTCAGAGCAGGAGTGGGAGACATTAGGAAAAGATAATAATAGTAAAAATAGCAATAGTAACAATCCTTCATTTTTGTGTAGCCCTTCACAATTTTGTTTTGTTGAGACAGCATCTTGCTGTGTAGTTCAGGTTGGTCTTGAACTCACGATGTAGACCAGGCCAGCTTCGGACTCATGGCGATCCTCCTGCCTCAGCTTCCCAAGTGCTGGGTAGCCCTTCATATTACAGAGTACTTTCCTATACAGAGTCTCATTCAAACCTGACAGCAACACAAGGGTGAAATAGGATCCAGGTTTTCTCTCCCATGCAACAGTTGTAGAGCAGGGACTAAAATATCAGCCAGGACTAAAATTCTCTGCTCTTTGCCCAATAGGAGAGAGAGGAAAAATAAAAAGCCCCTACACATTTAGAAAAGCTTGTATGTACTGAGTTGGACTGAGCCAGCACCTGCTCACCTGTCTCCTGGGTAACAGAACAGTGATTTTCCTCTGGGAACCCACTGCCAGTCCCCAGTCCACACTCAGCCCGAGTCAGATGTGGACCATTCAGGTACTGGGTGGTTCAGAATGAGCCTGGGACCCAACCCGTGTGGGCGGGAGATGTGCAGCGGAGACGGAGACGGGAGGGCTTCCGCCTCTCTTCCACTGGCCTGGAGCATCCGAGGTCTGTCAGGAGTGTGGCTGCCAGCCTGCCCCCACCCCTGTTTGGAATAGGAGGACAAAAGCCACTGTGTACAAAGGGAAGTCAAGAAGTGACTGTGGGCGGGTCCTAGTGACCTTGTGTGAACCTCTGTACTGAGTCACATGCCTGAGTAAACTTTATTTACTGGATGCTGTACATTCCTCTACCACCGCGGTGCTGAGCACGGAATCCAGGGCTTCGCACACGCTGAGCGTGTACTCTACCACTGGGCTACACTCTCAGCCTGAGCCTATATATTTTTGTCTATTTAGGCAGCTTGAGTTGCATCATCTGTCCCTTGTAACTAAAATATCTTGTCTGTTTCAGGGAATTTCTTCCTCTCCTGTCTCACCAGCCATGTGTACCCCTGGGGACGCGAATAAAGTCCAATTGCCAAAGACCGAGCCACAGAGGTTAATCAGTGCCATCCTACAGCTAATCACCAGCTCTGTGGCCTAGAACGTTAGGAAAGGTCACTTTGTCCAGATGACCAGGCTGCGGGGCACTTCGAGGCCATTGGGCAGGGGAGTGAGAAGGGTGTTTTATGCAGGAGAGGTGGGCTGCTCAGATGCCTGCATCACACAGAGGCTTCCTGTAGAACTGGGGATTACATGGAGGGCAGGCAAAGCGATTTCTCCCCAGGAATGAGAGATGAGTCCTCCCCTCAATCTGACTGGGCCAGCCCAGGTCATGGACTCACCACAGGGTCACTAGCCTTGCCAGGAGAACGCCATGTACTGGCACAGACCAAGTGGGACACAGGATCTGCCCTGGAGGGGGAGTGAGGGCAGCTTCTCCTGAGAAACAATAGGGATGGAGGGGGCCCAGAGCCCCAGTGAGCCCCAGTGAGAGTCTGTGGAGAAGAAAGAAGAATGATTAGATGCTGGATGAGACTGAAATGTCACAGCAACACTGCTTGACCGTGTGGCCCTGGGCCTCGGTTGCCTGTCTACAACCTGCAGAGAACAGAACTGAAAATGTCCACATTCCCTTCCTCCTCCAATATTGCAGGAGTCTACTGACTTCCAGCACAAGACTGGAAAAGCAAGTTGAGAGTGTGTCAAGAGGAAAGACAAATGATGGCAGGAATGGCTCACATTTCACGCACTCCAGACTTCCTCCATCTAGGGGGAGAAATCTTTTTCGTTTGTTTTTCCAGTACTGGGGATCAAACTCAGGACCTCGCGCTTGCCAGGCAGGTGTGGTGGTGTTGAGCTACATCTCCAGCCCTTGGGGAAGAAGTCTTGGTAGGAAAAAGATGTGTCCTACTTTTTAAAAACCCAAAAAAGACAGATCCACCAAACCCAGAAACCTGGGTGGGACCACGCATACTACATTAGCTCTGTGAAAGGATTTGACACAGTTCTTGTTTCTGTTTGCTATTTATCTCTAGATACTGAGACGCTACCATATCCTCAGTCTGAAGAAATTGATCTTTATTTTTCCTTTGGTTTTTTGTTTGAGGAATTCTGTTCTCCACACCTCAGAGGGTATCACAAGCTGTTTTGTACAATGAAGAAGAGAAAGGCCTGGGGAATCTTTCCAAGAAAGTGTGAGAAAACAAACTTGGCGCTGCACAGCGGTGTCCACATAAATCCGTGTAGCATCCTGGAGTCTCAGTAGCATCTCTTATCGCTTCTGGACTTTATAAGGATATTTGTGCCCAAAGGATGGCTTTCTGCCCTTTCCTCAGATTTCCTTCTTCTCTGCCATACCCTCAAGTCCAAAACTGAGGAAGCTGCATTGCAAGTATAGCCACGGGCTCCACAGCCAAAATTTCATCCCCAAATCTCGCAGCTTCTGGGAGCTTATTTATTTATTTATTTATTTATTTACTGGCAGGGTCTCGCTAGGTAGTCCAGGCTAGCCTTTAACTCACTATGTAGCCCAGGATGACCTTGAACTCATGGCAATCCACCTGCCTCCGCTTCCAGTGCTGGGATTGCAGGCCTAGGAGCCTCTCTGAAAAGCTGCCTTACTCCAACCTGACTGCTAGTACTGCCTCCTCTCTCACAGTGATTTCCAGATGTCCAAGTGCCTCTCAGCTGCCCTCCTATCCCTCAGCTTAAACATTCTACCTTGTGCTAAGTTGTGTGTGGAGGTTGGTGTTGGTGTTGTGTTTTGTTCTGTTTCTGTGGGTTTAGGAATGAACCCAGAGCCTTGTGCATTCTAGCTAGGCAAGCACTCTACCACAGAGCTACACCATGAGCCCTTTGGATTTTGAGACAAAGTCTCAAGAAATTGCCCAGGTTGGCCGTGGACTCACAATCTTCCTGCCTCAGCCTCGCTAGGAGCTTGGAGGACAGGCACGCACCACCACTCTCATCTCCCTGTGCTGCCTTTGATGCAGCTCATTGCACACAGCAGGGCCACCGTGTACCAGGATTTCGGTCCCCAGCCCGGTTCCTCCACGAAACCGCCTCCCCTGTTCTGGCTCCAAACAGACTCCATGGACTCCAACTCTGGCCCACCTGCTGAGCCCAGAGGTTTCACAAACTCAAAAATAAGACAGCAGATAAGCCTCCAAGCTTAGCTTTTTTTATTGTTTTGTTTTGAGACAGGGTCTCGCTATATAGTCCAGGCTGGCCTTGAACTCATGGCAACCCTCCTGCCTCAGCCTCTAGAGTGGGAGTGCTGAGAGTACAGATGTGCACCACCACACCTCGCTCAAGCTTAGCTTTGATGGGCATCTTCCCTGCCTAGCACCCCCCCCCGCCGCCCCCCTGTCTCCGCGTTTGTTTTTGTTTTTGTTTTGTTTTGCCTTGCATTTCAACTCCTTGAAGCCTGAAGCTTTGGAAACTCCAAAAGAATAAGCTGGCATGGTCTCCAGTTCCTCTTCTTCTCTAGCCAAGTAGTCAAGAGGCCAACAATCCAATGAGAATAAAAATAAGATATAGAAAGGGAGATACTGCTAAAGAAAGTAAAAACTTAACTTTAAATAGATCTCACCTACATATAGTTTTTGAATTCTCAAAATGATGGTCTATGAGTCTAATTTTTTTTTCATGAGTCTAATTTTCAAATGTACTTCTTGGCATTCAATGTTCTTAAAATTGAGAGATTCTGCACACTAATCTGAATGTGTGTCTTCTAACACCACCCCCCAAAAAGAAAAGAGCTCTGGCAACATCAAAAAATGATTCATTTGGCAATAACCAGTCAGAGCTGGGGGAGTGTAGCCCATTGAGACAGAGCCCAGCCTTGCCCCGGTCCCTCCTGTCCCTTGTCCTGACTTCTGTCTGTGGCCACCAGCGCTTACCTGCTGGCCCCTGGCAGTTGTGTCCTGCGCCATTTTGAATCCTGGTTTACAAAGTGACTCCTCACCACTGCCATCAGCACTACACAGAATCTCATTCAGGTTTGTACCGATCCCACACAGCAGCCAAGATGTGCAGTAGTTTTTTGTTTATTTTGAGACAAGGTCTCTCTATGCAGCCCAAGCTGGCCTTGAACTCACAGCTGGTGAGATACAGATTTTGACTCCCCCCTCCTCCATGACAATTCAAAAAACATGCAAGAGCCCAGCCTGGTGGTGCACACCTGTAATCCAGCACTTGAGAGGCTGAGGAAAGAAGATCATAAAATTTTGGAGCCAGCCTGGGCTACATAGTGAGTTCAAGGCCAGGCTGAACTACATAGTAAGAACCTGTCTCAACCTCCCACCTTCCCCCAAAAAAGCTGGGAATGTAGCTCAGTGCAAAGACCCTGAGTTCAATCTCCAGCACCACAAAAAAAGAGTCAATTCTAGGCAGTGATGACCCGTTTAAATAAAGAACAAAGGTTGGATTTAGCCTTTCGTTCCCCGTGGGCCTGATCCAATCATACAACCGCAGCACATTTTAAATACATGGAAGATTTTTTAAGGAATACCCTAGACTGCATCATTCAGAATCTCTAGAGGTGGGCTCCAGGCGTCAAGAGTTTTCAAAACCCCAGGCTCTGTCACAGAACATCAGTGAAATTATGTTATTATTTTACTACACAAGGTCTTAACTAAAGGGGAGGGGGCACCTAAAATGTCCCTAGGATTCTCCAGGCAGAAGCAGATCCAAAAATAGACACTTTCATCTGGAGGAGCTCAGCCTGGCTGAGCCCAGCCTGTGCCCCGTGTCGCCCGAGCCAGGCTAAATTCAGCACAGGAAGTCATCTCAGGCAGCCTCGAGACACTTACGGTGAGGCAGTGATCAGTTCAAGGAATACCTGTTCTGCTAAAGGCATTTAAAATCATTCCCCAATCTCTGACTTTTGAGACTGACACTATTCCAAGAATTCATTGCTAAATTTGGGAAGAAAAAATATTCCTACTACTAGCTTAGAAATATTTGGCCATTCTTTAAAATGGGTGGGGATGAATATTGTACTGGGATCCAAGACTCCTACCTGTAGCTTATGAATATTGGCTTAGTTCGTTCCTTGAAGTAAAAGTGGCAATGAGGCCTATATTGTTATGGAAGATAGTTCAGTTAGCTTATGAGCAGGGCAGCCAGCTAGTGGAAGGGCCTGAGATACAGGGGAGTGGCCACGCTGATAAAAATTAAGACTAGACAGTGAGCCGAGCATGGTACCACAGGCCTGTAATCCCAGCACTCAGGAGGCTGAGGCAGGAGGATCACCATGACTTTGAGGCCAGCTTGGGCTACATAGTAAGTTCTTATTTCGAGAAAAAAAAAGAAAGAAATAGACAATGAACTAGGACTTCGGACAAAAAATGAATTCTTCCAGAAATGACTCGTAAAAGCAGGAGCCCAACTGGAAAGCAAAAATAGCAGATCGGTTAAAACTGAGGCCCAGAGCGCCTGCTGACGATATGTTTGGAGTGGGGAATCAAAAAACAAACCCCGGGAGTGCTAAAAGGAAAAACATCAAGCGCAGGCACACACTGGACGGGCAGAGAGACGCCTCTGAACTCAGTGTCCTGACCTTCTGGAAGGCCCAGGAGAGAGAGACTGAACTGTCGGCGGCGATGAATCAGCTAAAACCCAAGTGCTTGGCGCAAGACCTGTCCATCTCAGACTGGCTGGCCCGCGAGCGCCTGCCCACCAGTGCGAGGGACCTCAGCCGCAGGCCGGCCGTGGACCCCCAGATGGAGCTCCCCCGGCGCAGTGGAAACAGCCGTGCCACGCCCCCGGCAGTTCCTCCAGTTCCTCGGCTTCCGCCCCTCAGCCCCTTCTTTCCACACCGCCAGTCACCAGACCAAGGCCACGGGGAAGGCTTCCAGAGCGCGAGCCCCAGTGCCAGTTCCGCCACCGATGCCCCTCCTCACGAACCGTCCCAAGCCCCTGGCGGTCAGGCCTAGCTTCGTCCCTGTCTCTAACCTGGGGCACGTCCACCTGATAGACACAGAGCCACTGTTACACGCTCCAGTAACGCTGTAAATATTGTCTTGTACCAGAATTGTTATTATGCAGCCTTCATTGGGGCTCCTTTCATCATCTTGCACTGTGAGATTGCTTTGCAGTGCATTACTACAGCCAAAAGAACACGTACATGTATTTAAGAGTATATTGGATAGTTGTATACAAATGAGCAGGCCTCTGTTGCAACGTCCTGCATAGTATATCCCTCGACTCACTGAAGGAAAGCGCTTGCATTAGTGTGCCGCAAATCTGTTCTCTTGGCTTCATCACTAACAAAAGTGCCTCATGAAAGTAAGTTTGATTTTTAGGGTGCCATATTGTTAAAATTAGATAACTCACATCGAATAAATGAATGCATTTTATCGGTAACAAATTTCATTACGTTGACCAGTTTTAACACAGGCGGATACACAACTTCCATTCTTTAGTCATTCCAAGTGGATCTGAGTTTTATATTCAAAGTTTTAATACAGTTTTTGAGTTTTGTGTGACTTGAATTTTTAATCTTTCTGTAAACTACGTATCTTTTCTTCAGATACCACATTGGATATAAATGCTGTAACATAGGTGTGTAGATAGTGGACCCTGGATGGAACTGGCTTCTTTATGAGAAGAATATAATTCTGCGTGAGGACTTAATGAATCCAAATCTGTGTTATGCCTGTGTGCACACCCAATTAAACACTGAAAAAAAAATTGTTTTGGTGACCTTTGGAGAAAAAAAATGAATTCCTCAGGCAGCATGAAATGCAGCCTACCCTCTACTAAAGGGAAGTGCAGCTTCTTCCCACTAAGATCCTGAGGATCTTAATTTCAAGGAAACTTACAGTGCAAATTAACCAGTTCCTTCTGAGATCCCATGTTACAGGAAACACTGTGTGAAAGAACTGCACTGGAGAGCCTGAGCCCCAGTTGGCCATCTGAAATCCACAGAGCCACCTGTGATAGGTGACCCCTAAACAATTAAGCGGTTCTTGCCAGTTGTGGTGGCTCATGCCTGTAATCCTAGCAGTCAGAAGGCTAAACCAGGAGGATCAACCCCAAGCTCAAGGCCAGCCTCAGCTACATAGTGATTTCAAGGCCAGGCTGAACTACATAGTGAGACCTTGTCTCACGCCCCCCAAAATAAATAGTTAAGCAATTCCTGTACCCTATTGGCTATAAGTAATTCTAAAGTGAGAGAATTACTTGTGGAACCCCATTGGGACTTCACCTGGAAATCCAGGAGCTAGTCTCCTTCTCCTTATTTCCAATAAAACTTTCCCAACCTTGGGTGCGAGGGATTTAGCTCAGTGGTTCCAGTGCCTGCCTTGAAACTTTCCTAACCTACTTCTTTGATTCCAGACTTCACTCTTAGATGTTTGCAGAACCATGGACCTGAAACACCCAGTAACATTGACAAACAAGCATTTGTTGTCTGATTATATCTTGAAATAATGTCAAGGCCATACATCATTATTAATCATCTAAAGCATTTATTAAGCAGCTACTGGCTTAGGGATGTACAAGATGAATTAAAAGTTTTGGTCTTTAGTTTCTTTTCTTTTTTTTAGGTTTTTTTGAGACCACATCTCCCTCTAATTCAGGCTGACCTTGAACTCACTATGTGCCCCAGGCTGGGGCAAACTCAAACTCAAGGTGATGCTCCTGCCTCAGCCTCCCAAGTGCTGAGACCACAGGTGTGGGTCACCATACCCAGCTGGTCTTTAGTTTCTAATTGGCACTTATTAAATAATGTCAAATGATGGATGGGCTGATTCATTTACAAGAATTCATTAAAGAACACAGTCAGCGGCCACCACCCACACCCAGGCATTATTAAAATGAAGCTCACCGGCAGTTTTCCTTTCCCTCTTGGCACCTAATCACTAGCAAGCACTTGGAATGCACAAGTCCACTGCAGGCATACACACACATTCCCACCGGTTTCACCTAGGGCGAGGCTCCTGTCTCTTCTCCAGCAGGTCCGGCAAGGAGACTCCGTGGACCACAAGGCCGGCCTGTGAAGCTCCACCCTGGACATGTGGAAGACGCAGCACCAGGCCAGGCAGTGCGGACAGGATTCAAAGCAGGAGCACAGGCAGTGCTCACCTGTGACTAGAGCCGCACAAAGCCAGCCGACTCACTTTAATCTTGGCCCTCAAGCCAACCTGAGCTGGAAGAGCAATCAGTCTAGGCCAGTTCAGGTTAGGGGAACCACTTCCGGCCGGATGACGGAAAGCTCTTTTCTCAGCTGTTACTCATTTGCAATGAAGCACAGCATGTGGGCCATGAAGAACACACCTCTTAGTTTGAACTCTGAGCTGTGCGTTACAGAAGCTGCTCGACAGTTTGACCTAAAGCAAAAGGGGATCGATTGGCTCAACATACAGTATTGTCTGGATCTAAGCACTCAAAAGATGTCATACACACCAGGTGTGGTGGCACACGCCTGTAACCCCAGCACTTGGGAGGCTGAGGCAGGAGGATGGTAAGTTTGAGGTCAGGCTGGACTACTTGGTGAGCCCCTGGGTAGGTGAGCGGTAGGGCCTGGGGCTGAGCGCCTGGCGCTGGTCTCCTCTGCCCTACTTTAATCCCACCCCCAGCTCTCAGCTGATTTGTGTGACAAGGGGGCTGCGGTCCTTCCACTGACCAGCCCCTGTCCAGGGCCTACCTCTCCCTCAAGGAAGAGAGGCGGCCTTGCTCAGGCCACAAGGACTGAGACAAGGGAAGAGGTGTCCACAAGGACACTGGGGTGATTTCCTAGAAAGTGTATGGAAGCCTAGTGTGAAAAGCAACAGCTCTCTACTGCACCGTGGATCCGGAGCTGTGACACCTGCTCTCGCTCTCAGCATGACGGGATTTCCTGTGTCTGCAAATGAACCATTTGAGAAATAGTTTTTAAACGAATGAAGGCATCTAGTGGGTGTCAGTAAATATGAGCCATTTATTCTACATTATTTGCTATTATAAATGGACAATATAAAAGCAAAGATGCAAAAATAAAGAATGAGATGAGAGGGAAACACAGGGAGGAGGAAAGACCTGGGCTGTGTCTTGAAGGACAGGTTGGAGGCAGTTCACTCCAGGCAGGAGCTCTGCGAGAGAGACAGGGAGAAAGCTGTCTGGGCTGAGCTCAGAGGGGAAACAGCCGGAGGGGAGCAGGGGAGGCAGCCGGGCAACTGCAATCTGGAATGGCAGCTGACAAGCTAGAACTTTATCCTGTGGACCCTGGGGTCAGCTGAGAAGGAAAAGGGGATGGATTCCATTGTGGATATGTCTGCAGGAAGCCTGAAGTAGGAGAGTAACCCCCGGGCTGCTTTGGAAAGATGAGCTAGTGGAGACTATCAAGGGTAAAGATGGGAGCAGGGAGCTGGGTGTGGTGGTGCGTGCCTGAATTCCCAGCTCTCTGCAAGGCTGAGGCAGGAGGATCTTAATTATGTTCAAGCCCAGTCTGAGCAACTTCCTGACTTAGCAAGATCCTGTCTCAAAATTTTTTTTTAATAATTTTTTAAAAGGCTGGGGGTGTAGCAAAGGCCATAGCCCCAAGCCAAGAAAGAAAAGAAAAGAAAATTAGCTAGGAAGTATTAGCCAGGTGATGAGATGACAGATAACCAGGGCCTGGGTTTATCCCTTCACACAGCCTTTTCCAGCCCTGCTTCAGAAGCCCATGCATCAGTGCCTCTCTATTTTTTTCTCTCCTGTTTCTTTTCCTGCCTCCTTGTTTTTGTTTGTTCCTGAGACAGGATCTTATTACGTAGTTCCGGTTGGCCTTGAACTCACTTTGTAGCCCAAACTGGCCTCAAATTCACAGAGACCCTCCTGCCTCAGCCTCTCAAGTGCTAGGGTTACAGGCATGTGCCACCACACCCAGCATCTACCTCCACTTCCGTAAAGCATGCGAGATTTTTATTATTTCCCAGAGACTTGTAAACTAAATGCTGCTCTACTAAGAGAAGCCGTAGGAACCAGCCTACGAGCTAAGGTCTAACCTGACCAATGGGTGACAAGGATGAAAAATAAAGAGACACAGAAACATTAAAATCTGGGGAGCCAGGGGACTCGTGAGCCCCAAATGACTGGCACACCTTGACTTTATTTACTCAGACACAGGCAAGAGCAATTAGAGGTCCACCGGATTCATCCGTCTCCCTCCCTCCATGGTACTTGTCCAGGTAAACAACTTAACCCCAGGTATTTCTACTTCTCCCCCTCAGCACGTTACCACGCTTCATGCCCTCTTTCTTCTCAGTGCTCACCAAGGAGGACAGTTAGGCCTCGTTCTTCCCATCTGATCTCCATGAGAAGCTGTACAGAGTACCATGAGACAAGACCAAGCCTTGCTAGGAGACATGAAAGTAACTGATGGGTAGGGCTCAGGGCCCTCATGGGGCAAGGAAAATAACACCTCTCTCCTCCAGTCCTTTTTAGGTTTATTTTGTTTTGGTTTGGTTTTTTGAGACAGGGCCTCCCTGTATAGCTCAGACTAGCCTCAACCTCATAGCGATCCTCCTGCCTCAGCCTCTTGAGTACTGGTATTACAGGCCTACACAACCATGCCCAGCTAGTTCAACTCTTTAAAATAGTTTCCAAGTAGTGTTAACTGAGTACCTGCATTCTACAAATCGACTGAGTTTGAATCCATCATTTACTAGCTATGTGATCATGGGCAAGTTTTCCCTCTTAGCCTTGATACTTCTCATCTAGAAAATGGAAGTAATAATATCTTTCGCAGAGCTTTATTATGAAAATTGTATTAATAATGTATGTAATATGCCTGACTCATTAAGTGTCCATTTCAGGTTGAGATCCCTTATCCAAAATGCTTGGGACCACAATTGTTCAGATTTTACAGTGTTTCGAATTTTGGAATATTTGTATAGACCTTATGGACAGAATACCCCAATCTGAAATCCCAAACTTACAATGTCTGTGCTATTCATCAGATTGGAGCTGCTCAGTATGTATCACTATCATTATCACTATTTGCATCGGGAAACATCACAAGCAACCCTGCTGGTAGGAGTGAACTAGACTTCCTCCCAAAGCTAAAAATGCCTACTGCAAGAGAGGCCTTTGGCGTTGTGGTTAAGCTCTTTGGCATGGATTCTCAGAGTCCAACTACTTTCTCCTGGAAGATTCCAAACACTAGAGGGAGGGTGGCCTTCCAGAAAATAGTCCCTTAACCCAGTGTCTTTCAAACTGCAGCTTTGAAGCACATTCATGGTTGTGATTTCAACTTAGTGAAACTCAACTAGCCTTTCCTTTAAAAAATAAATAGAATAGAGTAGCTGCAGAAGATACAGGATGATCATGTTTCATGAGGCCTTTGGTTTTAGTTATATAATTATACCTGCATGTATGTCCTGAGTCTCAGTATAAAGCATATTTCTCACTGTAGTTCATGGTCATACATCAGAAGCGTTTGAGAAACATCACCTTAAATGATCAGGGAAAAAAAACACCTGTTTTTTTTCAGTCTCAGGGAGATACCAAAGGTCAATTCAAGTGAGTCATTATTCTGTATTAAAGAAAAATCAGACAAGAATGGGGGACTACATTTAACTAGTGACACACTGTATTGTTAAGAACTTGTATTATTTCTTATCTTCTCTTCCTCTGGTGTTTATTAAACACAGGCACTTTTCAAGGTCAAGCTGGGCTCTCCTTTTCCAGGCCTCTGAATGACCTTCATGGGGCAGGGGTGTAGCTCGGAGGTAGAGTACTTGCCTAGCATGCACAAGGCCCTGAGTTCAATCCCCAGCATTGCTCAGTAAATCAATGTGCATGGCTGTTCTTCTGGGAGGTGGTAATTACCCTACCACCACCACCAGGCTTCCACTAGTTGCTCTGTGGATGAATCCTGAACTACTGGAGCGCTTGACTCCAGATAGCAGCTGGGTCTCACTCCATGAAGGACCTACTGACTCCTCAAATTCAAACTCAGCTCATCATCTACTCTTTAGAAAAAGAAAGGCCCACTCTTGGTTCCTTCTCTCACCGCTTTTATCCTCTCAGTGACCCAGGGAAGAAAACTCAGGGGTGGTCACATCTTCTTTCGGCACCCATCATTGCCAATCCTATCATTTCTAGCTAATCCCTGCTTCATCTGTTCACCCAGCTCCTCCCTCCCACCCACACTGCTCTCAACAATTTACATCATCTTCTTACTGATCTCCTTGTTTCAGTTTACCTTTCCTGTGGGCCCTTCCCATTGCCATCAGCTACCTTACCAAGACACAAGTTGCCTCATGATATTGACTCTGATCATTCTGATTCACAGAAATCTGCAGTAACTCTTCAAGAATAATCAAATAGGCCGGGCCTGATGGTGCACACCTGTAATCCCAATACTTGGGAGGCTGAGGCAGGAAGATCACCAAGAGTTCAAGGCCAGCCTGGGCTACATAGTGAGTTCGAGGTGAGCCTGAATCACATAGTTAGACCCTGTCTCAATAATTTAAATAAATAAATAATCAAATAAAAATACAAATATGTAAGCATAGGATTTTAAGGCCCCAGCCAGGAAGGACAAATAACTCTATCTCAAGGGTCAGTCTCAGTGGATGCAGTGACTATTTTGGAGACCCCGTGCTAGGATGATTCTGAGACTTCATACAAACTCAGCAGGAAATATTAGCAAAAGGCGCAAGAGGAAGTAGATATTCCTGATAGATGCTCAGTCTATTTTCAAATACATTTCATTAGTGCCTAGCAATTTTACAAAATATCGGGTTTCATTATGGTGTTTTTGTACATGTACATATTTTGATCATGTCCATCCCCCCAGAGCCCTCCTCTACACCCCCCTTCAATCTATTTTACTTCCTCCTACAAACTCTAGCACCGACGTTGAGCCACAAGAACGACGTACCATTACTCAAATATACTGTGCCGCTCTGTTAACCACAAAGATCATCTACTGTCATGCTTCCTTTCTTTTCCTGCCCAGACTGTTCTTGCCTCAGCTTCCTCCTATGAGAATCTTCATATTGTCCCTGCAGCACCGGAACTACCTGCACAGTGCATTGCTTGGACTTCTCCTGAGCGTGTAGCAACCTTGTTTGCCTTATAAATGGTATGTATGTATATTATATATATTGTGTGTATGCGTATGTGTGTTTCTACCTCTCCCACTGGACAATAAACAGAAAGCAGGGTACATGTCTTATTTGTCTCCCAAACCCT